TCCTGTGTAGATTATGTTTTCCTTTCTGGCCTCCTTTTGCTGTTATCCGAGGTGACCTTGCCCAGTGACGCCTCCTGCCCTCCCTCTCTGGCCGGGTTTTGCTGGGTCTGACCTGGAAGACGCCTCCTTTTGCTGTTATCCGAGGTGACCTTGCCCAGTGACACCTCCTGCCCTCCCTCTCTGGCTGGGTTTTGCTAGAGCTCATTAATGTCACTTACCTGATTACAATCCACTCAGGATAAAGGCTTTCTTCTTCCTGAAAGTTGTGTGTAGAAAGCATACAATGGTATTGTTCCGTGTCATTGAGCTCATAGCAATTCTTCATACAGGAGAGTGAAGCACCGCCCTGCTCTGAGCCATCCTCAAATCATTGCTGTGTTTGACCTCATTGTCGCAGCCACGGTATCATCCATCTCATTGAGGGTCTTCTGTTTTTCACTGACCCTCTACCAGGCAACATGCCCTGTTCCAAGGACTGGACCTTCCTCATAATATGCCCAGAGTCCTTGAGAGAACCATCATCTCACTATTGTCAATTCTAATGGTATTCTGATTGTACTTCTTCTAAGAGAGTTTTGTTCATTTTTCTAGAAGTCATGGTATATTTATATTCACCAATACCATAATTCAAAGATGTGAACTACTTTTCAGTCTTCTTTATTCATTGTCCAGCTTTCACATACTTATGAGACAAACAGAAATATCAGGCATACTTTAGTGCTCTCTTTGTTTTTTAACTCTTGCAAGAGATCCTTTGCAATGGATTTGTCCTATGCAATGAATTGTTCATTTTCTCAGCTGTCACCAGATCCAAGTAAAATTAAATCCTTGGCAACTTCAATATTATCTGCATTTATGGTGTTACTTACTGATCTAGTTGTAAGGATTTTTATTTGGTTGCTCACTTGTTTATGTTGAAAGCAAAACTCATACTAAACATTTGCGTGTCGAAAGTGAAGAGGACTTGAAACATGTACAGTCAGAGAAAGGCATAAAATAAAAGTATTCAACAAGCACAGAGAACTAGTTATCCTTTCTTACCTCAGGAGCCATCCAGAATGGGGTGCCAACTGACGTGTTTCTTCGTAGACGTGTACTGGTAAGTTGGGCTGAGACACCTATGAAAAAGAGTTTCATAATTCAGCAGTGAGCAGAGGATGATCTAGCTAGACATAGAGATTGGCAAACCTTTTCCAAAAAGGTAGTAGATATTTTAGGTATTATGGGTCACATCTGTTACAACTCAACTCGGCCTTCTTAATGCAAAGGCAGCCATAGATAGATAGATAGATGAGAATAGTTATGTTCCTGTAAAATTCTATGGATGAGTGCTCAAACTTTAATTTCAAATAATTTTCACAGGTCACAAAATATCTTTTCTCCCACCTTCAATCATTCAAAAGTTTAAAAACATGCTTAGTTTATGGGTCACACAAAAACAGGACACAGGTTAGATTTGGCCTGTGGCTTTAGCTTGCCAATTCCTGTATTTGAGCACTTATTATTTTACCTAAATTTCTAGAATAGTTTTTCATGCTGAATATTATCATTCATAAATTTTGATGCAAAAGATACACATCAATGTATAGAATGAACATAAAAGATCTCCTATTTTATTATTTAAAAATATTTTCAGATGATTTCTTTTGTCCTAAGTTATTATGTATGATTTATGGGGAAAGAAGGTTGGCATACTAAGGTATCTGGGGAGGTGGGGGGGCGGGAATCAGTGCCTTATTCTACCTAGAAGCTTGGAAATCTGGTAAGAAAGCAAATTTTGTCAAATGGATAAAGAACCCGACTAATCCTATTATTATCTAGGGTTTAATACTGAAGACCTTAAATTTAACATGCTTCCAGTAAATTTTGTCATCAGCTGAAGTAGGAAAAGGAACCCTGCATTATCAGTCAAAAAAACCTGTTTTATATCTGCATTATGTCACTAAGGAACTCCAGTGGCTTAGTTGTAGGGAGCTGTGCTGCCAATCTAAAGACATGAGGTTCAAATACACCAGCTGCTCTGCAAGAGAAAGACAGGCAATCTCCCATTTAATTTTCAGGCTCTAGAAATGTGCTGGAGGGTCAGCAATGAGTAGGTTCTGACTCAACGGTATATAACAACATTACGGCACTAACTGCATGACATAAACAGACCACCTCCTCTTTTAGCCTTAGTTTTCTCATCTTCAAATTAAGAATAATGATACTTTCTACAGCTAACACAAAGGACTCCTCTTAAGACCAAATGAAAGAATGTGAAAATGACTTAGAAATGATAAAGCACTTTAAGAATGTTCTTTTCATGCAATGCCACCAGTCATCCCATGTCCCTCCCTCCAAACCAGCAGCATGCTGTCCTTAAGTGCTGCCAGTAGGAACAGACTTATAGCAGACCCTCCAGGGGGTTTCCAGAGGCAGTAAATCACATGGGAGGAGACTAGGCATCTTTCTCCGGTGGAGCAGCGGATAGATTTGAACTGCGTGCCTTTGAGTTGGCAGCACAACTCCTTACCACTAGGCCACCAGGGTTCACTTAGTGACCAGAGTGTGTGCCATTTCAAACTGCCAGCTGCTCCACAGAGAAAGACAGGAAGCCTCCTCTCATGAAGATCTGCAGCCAAAGGAAGGTCACTGCGAGTCAGAACTGATTCAGTGGCCGTGGGATGTTAACACTGACAAAGAACATGTTTAAAAGTGCTTTCAAATATGGGGTTTTCCTTTCATTTGTAGCAATGATCTTGAAGTATTAACTATTGTTGAACTCATCTAGACAATAAACCATCCAATAAACTTTAAAAAGGAAGATGAGGGAGAAAATAATTTAAAAGCAATGTACTTGGGGCGGTGGGAGGGGTGCGGGGGAGATTGTGTACCAGGGAAGGAGTGTTTCTTTTACTTTTCAAAGAGAGAAGCAAACTGGGGGGCGGGGGGCATCTGGGCAGGGTGAAAAGTGCAGCAATGAATGAATGGAAATCTAAAGTCTCTGTAAATGTTCATTAAAATTATTAAAATAAAATAAAAAATTTTTTAAAAAAAGAAAATGAAATGGCTTACTGATTGGTAAGAATCAATACAAAAGTTTTGCCAAAAGATACTTCCTATCTGGCCTTAGGTGCCACTGCTCTGCATTTCCTGTCATACTTGCAATTCCTATTACGTTTCTAGTTCAAGTAGTCTCACATCTGGCAGCAATCATCACAATTTAAAGGGATGTTCTCTCTCAGGCCCAAAGGACAATTTTACCTTTGGCTTACTAGGAATAAGTGGCCTGAGGCAAATGAAAGGCATCTGAAAGATCAAACTGCTTTTCTTTTCAAATGCAAAACAAGAAAGGAGAAAATGTAAATTATAGGCAATTGGTAAATGTGAAATTCCTGCCAGAAAACAAACGTTTTTCCATCAGATTATTCTTTGGAAACACTTATGATTTTTTAAAAAAATTTAATAAAAATGCTTCTAAAGCTGAAAAGAAATTAACAAATAGCGTCTCCTAGGGTGATCCATCTGGTAAACCCCCGCCCCCTCCCCACTCTCCAGGCCGCATCTCATGGAAAAAATTCCCTCAGCCTACAGTGTAACAGAAAGGCCCCTGTCTTCTGAGATTACAATAAATTGTCGCCTCTGGCTAACGTGCACACATCAAGAAAACAAATTCGGAGCAGTCATTACCAAAGTCAACGAGCTTAACTCCTCCTTCTGTTGTCAGAAGAATGTTATTCCCTTTGACATCACGGTGGATGATTCGGTTGTTGTGCAAATGCTGAAGGCCCTGCATGGAGTCCCACCACCACAGAACAACAAAGAAGAGAAAGGGGAAAATTTACATGCTGATTCAAAAACAATTACCCTGTTATTTAAGTCTAATCCAAGGCTACATTGACTACAGCACCCTTACAAACATCGCATATTAAAGGAGATTGCCCCATCGTTAATATGCACCGAGTGTGAAGCAAAGGACCAGTTGCTCCCTCTGCTGTCTTCACTTGTGGACATCCTTACCATGAGGGCACCATGCAAGATGTAGGAGATCATTGCTTCCTCCAGCCGCTGGCCAAACATGAGCAAACCTTTGACAAGCTCAGTGACAGAGCCTCCATTGCATAGCTGAAGAGGAGGTGCCCCACAAAGAAGGCAGGGCAATGCACATACAAAAAGAAAAGAAAAAATAATTAAGAAGAGCCCAATGATTAAAGACCACATTTTTTTAAAGCAAATTTTCAGTGCAAAAAACTGAGTTGCTCAGAGTAATTCGATCTCAAATTTCCATCATGAAGTCAAGTCTAGTTCTCTGTGCCTGAGTGCACACCTGCAGTTTTTATTCAAGGTGATCACTTACGAGTAAATACAAAAAAAAAGCATAGGAGGGGAAATGGAAACTCACTACTCAAGGGATACTGAGCTGAGGAATGTTGGGAGAAACTTGGAAATAGATAAAAGAGATGATTGAACAACATAATGAGTATCATGAACGTTACTGAATTGTTCATGTAAAATATGTTGAAATGGCAATGTGTGTGTGTGTGTGTGTGTGTGTGTGTGTGTGTGTTTGTATGTTGGAGAAAGTGTCACCAGAGTGCTCCTCAGAGACAAAGATATGAGATACGAAACAAAAATACTTTATCTCGTATATTTTGGACATGTTGTTAGATGAAGCTGTTCCTTGGAAAGGTGGAGACTCAGCAAAGGAGGGGACCCTCAATGAGACGGATTGATACAGTATCTGCGCCAATGGACTCAAGTGCGTTGAGGATGATAAGGATGGCACAGAATAGGACCGAGTTCAGTTCTATTGCTCATGGGGTCGCTATGAGTCACTCCTCTTACTCAACTCATTGTACTCAACTCAACAGCACTTAATGACATGTTTTATATATAAATATATAAACTAACATATATTACTACCACTTAGGGTGTCTACGAATCATAGTTGATTCGATGTCACATAACAACAACAACAACCATTTTGTAAAAACCTAAAAAATGAAAATACAGGAATAAGTGAAATGGAGGATGTACTTAATACCTGGGAAAGAATGAATTTTTGTTATTTCAAACCTTGATGCCACCAGTGGTGACACTAAAAGCATTAGATGCCCAAGAGCTGTCTCGCGAATTGTCATTACATGTGAAGTTTATAGAACAGAGTTCCAGCATGTGTATAGTTAACTTTATTTGTTACACTTTAGGCTTACAATACCTATCTGCTCTTCTTTTTCTGTAACTAAAAATACTTTAAGATTATATCTTGTGCTACCAACTCAAAGGTATGAGGTTTGGATCCACCAGCTGCTCCTCGGGAGAAGGATGGCAGTCTCCTCTCAGGTGATTTACTGCCTCTGAAAATCTGCTGGAGGGACAGCTATGGGTCGGTTCCACCTCAACCGTACACAACAACAACATTTGGCCTTAATTATAAATTGTACATCATCCAGATTTGAGTGCATAATCAGGTATACTATAGTTTCTTGGCAGTTTGAAGATAATTTTTATGATATATGAATTTTTGCTTTCTCCTTAACTTAAAACACTAACAGTGGAAGTCAATTTGCAGGTTTGGGTTTGCTACAGGCCATCTAAAATGGAAAGTTCTGATTTGAGCAGCGCATGTAAATCACCCTGAAAATAAAGGCAGTGTGTTGCATATGCATCTTGTATTTTTCTGAAAAGGAATTTCACAGTGTTCTTGATATTCTCAAAGGCATCCTGACCTTGAAAAGTTAAGATCCTGTTTTAGAGATGCAGGCTACACCTAGCACTTCCCTGGAAATTAACAAGTTAACAAGTAGAGTGTGGGTGGTTCCCTGGGTTGTGGCTGCTTGAGTCAATTGGCAAAGAAAACAGATTAGCACCTTTTCTAAAAGGAGACAACTCTTTATCAAGATAATAATACATTAACTCCTATTATTCTATCTTTTCAGCTCTAATTATGGACATCTTGCAGAGAAAGAACCTTACATTAGGAGGAATTGTCAGGGACCAGGGACCTCAGGAGGTACCCAAGGCTGACAGCACTGTTTTATCATCAAAAGAACTTGGAGGTTTATCACATAGTTTAGAGGTCTCCACTCTCACTGCCAAGGCCTCTCAGTAGAAGAAAAGATGACAAAGAAAAAGAGAGTGCCTAAAACACTGAGTAATTGTTAGTTGTCACAAGTTTGTTCTGACTCTTGGTGACCCTGACAAAAGAACAAGACATTGCCTAATCCTGAACCATCTTCATGATTGCTGGTATGCTTGAGCCCATTGCTGTGGGCCTGTACATTGAAATGTCTTATGGTTGCTGTTGTTAGATGCCATCAAGTTGATCACTCCACATAGTGACCCTATGAACAGCAGATCTGAATCTTGTCCTATCCCGTTGCATCCTCATCATCTCTGACACCCTTGAGCCCATTGCTGCAGTCACTGTGTCCCTTTCCTCCACTGGCCCTCCACCTGTCCAAGCATGATGTCCCTCTCCAAGGAGGAGCCTCTCACAACAACATGTCCAAAGTATATGAGACTATGTGCTTTATCATCCATGAAGCTCTCTGGCTACATCTTCTCCAAGATATATTTGTATGTTCTTGTGGCAGTCCATAGGATATTTAGTACTCTTCTCCAACATCACTAAGCAAAGGCATCAATTCTTCTGCCCTTCTTATTCATTGTTCAGCTCAGAAGATGCAAAGCAAGTGACTGAAAAGACCACGGACTGAATCAGGAAGACTTTGGTCCTCAGACTGACATCACATCACTTGTTCTTCAGAAATTTGGAGAAGTCTCTGACTGCAGACTTTCCCAGTGCAATATATCTCCTGATCTCTTTTTTTTTTTAAATTTAGTTTGTTTATTTTTCATTTCAATGAACATCTACAGAGATTTTGGCATTCCATTCATTCATTCATTGTTGCACTGTTTTCTCCACCCTCATCCCCATTTGTTCTTGTCCAAATGCCACTGTGCTTGTCAAAGCCAGTTCTGATTAATCTCCTTTGTCAGTGTGTCCCTTGCCATTCCCTATCACTCCTCCCTGAGAGAGACTTCACCCTGATTCATAAGGAAAAGGGGATGGCGTATTCTCTTAGCTACTTCCTGCTGAAAAGGGACGCTGTGGTTTTCAGAGTGAAGGTCTTCTCTCACTACTCTAAAGGGCCCCTTTGGAAGTAGGAAACACATAGACTATTATGGAGATTGATTTTGGAATTTAGATGCACTGTTATCAATTGTGCTTAGCCGTACATGTTCATATCCTTGTATCATGGAAGTGTTGCAGCCTAGAAGATAAAAATTTAACTAACAAGTTAAAAGTGCATGAGTCAAAAATTGAAAAGCAATAATATTCAGAGTAGAGGTTCCAATAGTGGCACAAATCAAGTTACAGAGGTAAGGTGGTTCCATTGCCATCCTTACTCTAACTTAATTCTTTTTTTTTAAATTTAAATTTGTTATTAATTTCAGTGAAAATTTACAGAGGCTTTGGATTTCCATTCATTCATTGTTGTAGATTTGTCCCCTCCCAAGGCTCCCCCCCACCAGACATTACCCTCTTGGAAAAGTAAAAGATTCTTTCATTATTTTACAAACCCTCCCCCAGGTCCACTCCACCATGTAGCCATCGCTCTAGACTCCTGTCATGACCGAAATACCTAATCACATGTCTCTTTTAAACAGTTTTCTCTCTTCTCTGTTTCAGAGCCGCGTACATTATTGAAACCATCTTACTCAGTCTCTCCCCAATCCCAAGGACAGTCCCATTCTACAACAGTGGCACCATGCAATATTTGTCCCTTTGTGACTGGTACATTTCACTCAGCATAATGTTCTCCAGAGTCAACCATTTTGAGTAGTATTGCATGAGTTCCTTGTTTTTTAATGCAGCATACTATTCCATTGTGTGAATATACCACAGCTTCTCTAGCCATTCATTTGTTGATGGGCACTTAGGTTGTTTCCAACTCCTTGCTATTGTGAACAAAGCTGCAATAAACATGGGTGTGCATATATCTGCTTGGGTGTCAGTTATGGTCTCTTCTGGGTATATTCCCAGTAGTGGTATTGTAGGGTCAAATGGTATCTCTATTTGCAACTTTTTGAGAAAGCGCCATACCGCTTTCCACAGGGGTTGCACCATTTTACACTCCCACCAACAGTGAATCAGGGTTCCAGTTTCTCCACAACCTCACCAGCATTTGTTGCTTGCTGTTCTGTTAAATTTTGCTATTTTGACTGGGGTGAGATAATATCTCATAGTTGTTTTAATTTGCATCTCTCTTAGGGCTAGGGATTTTGAGCATTTCTTCATGTGCTTGTTAGCCATCTGAATGTCGTCTTCGGTGAAGTGCCTGTTCATATCCTGTGCCCATTTTTCTATTGGATTATTTACCTTTATCTTGTTGTGGTGCTCAAGTATTTCATAAATTCTGGATATAAGTCCCTTATCTGATATGTTATTACCGAATACTTTTTCCCAGTAGTGGCCTCCCCTTTTACCCTGTTGGAGAAGTTCTTGGATGTGCATAGGGATTTGAGTCTTAGAAGATCCCATTCATCTACATTATCTTATCCTGGTTGTAGGTCTCCTGATCTCTTGAGTGCTGGTACCAAATATATTGATTGTGGATCCAAGTAAGATGAAGTCACTGACTTCAAAATAGAGGGCTCATCTTTCAGATTATATAAAGTGAGTTGCAATCTGTTGGGTTTTCATTGTCTAATTTTCAGAATTAGATCACCGGGTCTTTCTTTCTTGTCTGTCTTATTCTAGAAATCCCACTAAAATCTGTCTAATGTGAATGACCGAAGGTATTTGAAATAGCGGAGACATTGCTTTACAACATCAAAACAACACACATCTCATCCATCTGAGAAACTGACATACTCAGAAAATTGAGTTACTCTAAGTGACTGAACTGTGGACTGGATAGTGAAAATGGTGTAGAAACATTAGAATTTGCTACTTCCCAAAGAAGGCAATGAATTGGACAAGTTCAGAATAAGTAAAAACCTGCTGCCTGCCTTAAGGGTCAGGAATGAAGTGGTGCTCAATTATTAAAAACGAAGTTGCCTCTTGGTTCACAGTACTTCGTGACTGTTCAATTCATTATCCATTGATCATAAATATG